TAAATTGGAATAATTAATTTCAATATGATGAATATATGTTTACAGCATTGACCTTGACAGTGTAAGATAAACATAATTATGTCATAATTACATTTTAGCCTATTAAATATTATCACAAACAGTGAAAAATATTATTTAATCTTTATTAAAGTAACTTACAGAGAAGTAATGACTTCTAGTGTATAATGGTAAATTTTATTTTATTAAAAAAATTATATTTCAGCTGTTAAGAACTGATATTACAAATCAAACCAAATATGAGTATACCTATACAATTGTTCACTTGAAAACTATTTAGTTGCGACCCAAACAAATTCTAGACTTTCTTTAAGTCAGAATATAAAAATAGTGGAATTTTCATAGAAATGACATTAAACAATTTCCAAGTTTTTAATAGACCTTTCGATATTAAGGCAAAGGCAAAACTGACATTTTTTTGTTATTCCTATCAACTGAAATAAAGGTTCAATAAAGAATACTACAAGCTTGAATGAGAAATTGTGTTTATTATCAACTATAAGAACAAAAAGTATATTAATAATAATAGAAAATGGTATGATTGACAATGCTTTAAATTTCTCTAGAAATCAGCGTGAATTGGTGGAACACCCTTGTCTTCACAAAAGCTAGTAAGGTCTTTTTTCTTCTTTTCAGTTATTGGCAGGCTGTTAGTGCAAACCTTTTCTAGTTCTATAATATCCATGCTTTCTAAACCTTTTCTTGTTTTTTCTTGGTGGTATCAACTGATCTGTACTCCTCTTGTACACATGAAATTTTAAAATAGTAATGAGTACCAGAGCTTTTTTTACATGAATTTCAGAAATATCGTTGAAATGAAAAGTATTTCCTTGGACATATTCATTGAAAATTGTCGCTGTTTTAGTATTTAATTTTTTCAGGTCAACAAAAACATTTAAGACATAATTCGTGTACTTTGAATGGTCGCTTGCAACGACAAGTTCGGATAAGCATAGCGTAATAAGTTGGTAGATAAATAGGTCCTCCTTTTAAAGCTTTAGTGATGTTTCTTTCTACTAAAGAATGGCAGCTATCATCCTCATTTTAAGTATGGCTGACAACTAAATAGTGACAAGTTTGAAATAGTTTACAGCGTACTGATATTGTAATTAGGTACTTGTTGTTTCCTTTGCCACCACAATTTTATTGTTTGACTAAAATATGAATTTCAAATCGTCAGAATCGGATTTTATAAATGTTTGTTCCAAATACATCAGCAGGCACGAACCAATTTCTATGGCACCTTTACTGCCTTCTCCTTCATGCCAAACATAGCTGTGCAAATTTCCCAGTTTTCTAAAGTTCGCATATAGGAAAATGAGATGTTGATAGCTTAGATTTATAATAGAAAGCAGAAACTTCAATGGATCTTTTGCACACCCTTTTTTTATGGCTTGATGTGTTACCTTTATCTGCATATCGATATGTTGGTTTAATTATAGACATGGATCTCAGAATATAACTTTGTTGTGAATTTATATTTCCCATTGACCAATATTTTTCAAATATCTATGTTCTTTTTTGTAACATGAAATTTTCATCACATTTCAGTCTGCATGGTTGTAAGATGGACCTAAACTGCAAGCCTGTATAAGATTACCATTAACATTGGTGTAGTTTTGGCTTGAATTTCTAAGAAACTTTCTGATTTTCTTTTCCATTGGCCCAGACAAGCCTTCCTTTTAGATTTATTAATTGTCACATCTTCTGGTACTTCAGTCTCCACATTTTCATCAGAGACCTCTGTAAATGTAGATGATACATCATCATCATCATTCATGTAATGAGGGTCCTCTTTAGAACTAAAATGAGTTTATTTTTTGTTTAAACCCGTAAATGTAATCAAAAAATCGTCCAAGTTTTCTACTAAATCAGTTATTTGGAATTATACAATATTGATATTATTACTTAGGTTACTCCTGCTTGAGATATGATCAATTCACTTCTTCTCGGATAACCCTTTGGATCTGACATTTTTAAAACATTAAATTTATTCCTTTTATTTAATGTGGCACAACTTCAAAATTTTCACTGATACAGTTTAAAAATATTTAAAATTGTAGCTATAGTGTCACAACTCAAAAGTACCGGTATTGCATAGAAATTTGATATCGACATGGTTCAACTTCCACTTCACAACTAAAAAGGGCCAGTATTGCAAGAAACAATTTTATCTCAACCGCCAACATGTCATAGTAACACTAGTGACATCTAGTGGACATTTTTGCTTTATAATTGTGCCTGTTCTGCAGGTTACAAATAAGGCTTTTTAAACCCTCTGGTTATGTTAACTCAATTTTGTCAATTTTTGAGTTAAGCCACTATTGCATACAGCCGACATTGCATATATGAGCATGTTAGGAGTAAAATTAGCAAATTCCAGCATGGTTTTGTAAGTGATATATCAACAGTAACAAATCTCTATGCTTTCTCTGAACATATTATCAAGGCTAGTGAGGCAAGGGAGTAGTTGGACATTCTGAACACTGATTGCGAAAAAGCATTTGATAAAGTCAATCACTGCATTCTTTTAAATAAACTGGTACAGTTTGGCATCTCAAGAAAAGCTTTTAATTTATTAAAATCTTACTTGGCAGATAGGAAGAATACAGTAAAAATTGTACTTAATTTGCTTTTCTCACTAATATGTGACATCCTCAGGACTTCCACAGGGGAGAAAACTTGGACCATTGCTCTTTATTTTATTTATTAATAGACTGTATTAAATCTTGTATCAGCGTAATGTATGCAGATAATTTTAAACTTTTTAAAACAATCTATAATAAGAAAGATTTAGTTAAATTGCAGGATGATCTAAGGTTAATTATTCAATAGTTCAATGAATGGACATTCGAAAATAACTCTTAATGATAAAAAGTGTGCAGTAGTTTCATATACTTAAAAACTTAATAGGGTTATTGAGGAAAAACAAGGATAACTCTGTATGAATCACTCAAGTTGCAGTCACTTGCCACTAGAAGAAAAAATCAGGTCATTATGTTTATATACTTAATTATTAACAGTTTAAGTACATAGATTATGATTTAATTGAGTTTATTTACTTTAGAGTACCTAAGGGTAGGATAACCAAACTAGATCTATTTTTTATAAATTCCTACAGAAACATGTCACAAGTAAATAACATGTTAAAAATTTGTAATGAAGTATTTAATAGACTGACTCATGTAGATATATTTAATATAAAAATCAGTGAACTTAAGACATTGCTTGCTCATCTGCACAGGACAGTGGCACACCTAGAATTTTCCTGGTGAGGGGTGAAGGTGGTTGTGCACTGAAATTTCTTTATACTACCTCCATTTTGAGTCCTTAAAATTTGGGTTCTAGTTTAATTGAAGTACTAAAGATAGCAGTGCCAACGATTCAGGTATCTGTTAACCTGCCTACCAACTAAAACCATCCTCACCTACTTGGGCACAGTCGACTGTTGCTTGTACAGTACTTAGAAAGTGTGATGGCTGCTGTAAGGCTGATGACATTTTTGGAACACTCCCCTCTGTGTTGTTCCACTTTTCTTGGTATCTTCCCATTGACCTTTCCCTTTCTTCTTTTTTTATGGCTGTTGTCAAATGCTCCCTTCTCTCATAGAGAATCTCTTCTTTCTACTGCTAACACTTGCAGAAGAACACAACCCATGATAGTCCACAAGGTCACTGTAGATACAGTCCTGTAGGTGCATGCTACTTGCAACAGAATAGTTGTCTACTCCTGTCATGAGCCTAATATTAGGTATTTATATCTAAATATAATAAAAAATTTAATTCAAATCCTAAAGTGTATTTTAAATAATAATCTGTACTTAAATAAATTAAATTTATAATAAAATGTCTAAACAACATTACTTTAGAGCCTATATGGTTTATTACCTCTTCTTCATTACCTCTATTTGAATGTCTTGATGGATAAACAAAAGCTAAACCATTTAGTCTCTCTTTGCTAATACAATTTCTTAAATAAGTCTTTAGTACTTTCAGCAATGAAAATAACCTTTCACATGTACAGGTTGTTACAGGTAATTTAACTATTAAATTAGCATTTTGGATTTTTTCATTGTGTGTAAAATACAAATTACATTTTCCTACTATTTTTTATATTTTTTACTTAATATGCCCTGAGGGGTTTATCCCCAAAACCCTCTTGGCTGCGCCACTGGCGCTACAGTTAAGAGGTTGAATAAAACACATGCACACTTTTCTCTTTTCTTCTCTTTCATTTATTTTATTAATTATTGTAGGTTTATATTCTTAGTTGGCACTTTACATGTAATTACTAATAATTTATGGTGTTTGTAAAGTTTCAAACAAATAAATAATTGATCCTATTAAAATATGTTTAGTGTCAGTGTTGGATATCTTTAAGATTACTTTTCATTCACAGAAAGAATGAATGTAACAACTTTAAATCAATTTTTAACCATAATTTAACAATGGAATCTATAATTTGCCATAAAAAATATATTTAATGCCATTCAAAGATAATTTTGTAAATTTAATAGATAAACAAATGAAAATTCAGCCAGGAAGATCCTCACACCCACCACATTAGATAATCTTCTTAAGTTCAACATCCATGACATCAGCTTTGAATATACTTTTTAATTCAGTGTGGAGATAATTTAAATGCCGTATCATTATAATAATGTTGTCTGTGGTATCAACAATAATTGAAATAATGAAAGGCTAGTTTTCTCTACCTAACTGGATTAAATTTATGGCAGTTGCTGTTGACCTTGCAGGCTTTGTATGAAAGTATATATTACTCATTACTTCCTTAAACTACTGCTTTTTGTTGTGAAAGAATATTAACATAAATACCATGATTTATGTATATCAAACATTAGTGAAAACAAAGGTTTCTGATTTATTTTGAGGATTTTTTGAATATGATTTCACGCATATTTTATCAGAATAGGTGGACAAAAGTGCGTTATATAATACTTAAAAAAATCTTTGAGCACTTACCTTCCTAATAATTTCAAAAAAGGTCCCAAACCGTGCACAGTTGCGACGTCTGCATTGTACGTTACCGTCATTTTCACAGAAAATTCACAAATTAACACAAAAACTAAATTAAAGTTACTAACTTAATATTTTCTAGAACATAACTTATCACTTTTAGACAACATACTCAATTTTATGTTGTGAATATGTTGTAATTTAGCACTTAGAAGGTCGGAAACAAGTCATTTGAGGAAACAATAGTAGTTAAACTAATTTTCCAAAAACTTTAGGTTATGTTTTCTGTTGTGAGCTGAGCTGTTAGACAAAGAAAGAGTGATATACCCGGTTCGGTATTCCCAGTCCGAACTGTCTAGTGATTTTAGTAATTATTTTTTTTGCGAAGTTAGTTACTTTTTGACAGACTTGAAGTGGCTGGAAATTACTATACAACCAAGCATACGTGCTCTTAGTCAATATTAATGTAAACAAAAGTAAATAAAATAGAATTTTGCCGACAATCAATATTTATTTATTTACACCGTATAATGTATTGATAACAAATAATAAAATTATTTATTGTACAAAATAAAAAAAGTGGGAATAAATTCTACAAAATTAAAAAATCAAAGTGAGGTTAAATAAGACACAGCAAGTTGCTTATGTTGTGACTAGGATAGAATCAATGATTAAAGATTAACAGTTCATTGGATAACATTAACATAAACTGTTGTTTTATTATCTTACAAAATAAGTGTACTTCCATATGCTAAAAGCAAATATTAGTAATTTGACTAGGCAAATTCGTGGTTCAATAGTAATTTTTGCTCATTAGCATATTTGAGGATGTTAAAATCTTCCACATATGGTGAATGAATTCAGTGTCCTGGCCGCAGTCTGCAGTCATACAAACCCAAACAAACAACAAAAACCTCCATGTAGGTATAAACAAGTTTATATTAAATTAGAAACAACTAATCTAAAAATATTAACTTTTAAAAAACATTTTATCATATTTATTAAGAAAAACTTACCAACGCATTAGCTGATGGAACAAATGGAAAACTTTGACTATCCATAATAATAAAATTTAAAATATAACTAATTAACTGAATAGAACTAACAAAATAATTAAACAAAGATAAAACAATAAAACTATATTAAATTAAATAAACAACGCGAATAATACAAATATTTACTACAATATTTTAAATTGTAACAATTCAAATATTATATTTTAAATATACAGGGAAAATTTGATGGGTTTAGTATACACTTCCACTATTTAGAATAATTCTTCTTTTTTTTTAAAGAAAGAAGTCTGCAATAGTAGTATACTCGAGCTATTAATACTGAGAAGTAGGAATTGTTGTGTTGTAGGTTTCCTACAATGAGTCTGTCAAAATATGCCCTAGCTAAGCGAATAGACAATAGATCACATTCGTCTAACAAGTTGGAGATTACTTAGCCCCAATCAGATAGTCCACACACATTACCAATAGTATAATTGAGAGTTAATTTTTGAAAACCAATTTAAAACGTAATAAAGTTAGAAAGTTACACTAACATTCAAATCCGGTCAACTTAGACATTAAAATAGTTGGCAAATAATAAAAATTGCCGGAAAGACAAATTTTGGTGGAGATCTAGAGTTTACCATAACAAATAAAGTTTTAAAAGTCCCCATCGATCACATGTCGAGGGTTCAAAGACAGTACCTCGTAAGTAACAAGTAGCTAATTTTACAGGATGAACAAAAAACTGTTTAAGAGTTGATAAGATGTAGTTATTTTTTGAAATCTTTTAAATTTATTATATTTTAAACTTCCTGATTTTGTAAGTAAAATAAAAAAAAGTGTGAAGCAAAATTAAAAAAAAATTAAGTCACTTAAGAGGTAATGTCTGTTTTTGTCTGTCACATACGAGGTAATGTTCATTTCTTTAATGGTTAATATAATACACCATGTTTGTATTATCGTTGTCATTATCATATTATTTAGGAAAATTAAAGACAAGAGTATCTCATTCTTCAAATTTGTATTTATTTAGTAATAAATTGATAAATACATACTTATCTAAATAAAAACTACATAAAACAGAAAAGGAAAAAAGCAAATATTAGTTTATTCTGATTGTTAAAATCTAAAAAAAAGGTAACAAAATCCTAAAATTATGGCAATGAGGAACAAATCATGCACTAGTACTAATATTATGAACATTAATTAAGATTAAGACTTATACGGCAACAAATCATAAAAAGACCAACAGTCTTTAGGAATAACTGATTTGATTATTTGTAGGTGGTCATACTTTGTTTTTGAAATTGCTGGTCTATTTTGAAACAATGGGGGAAATTTAATAATAGAAAAATCAACATTTTTTGGTCTAGTTGGGATTTCTTCAAAGGAATCTTCAAAATTGATTTTAAACAATATTTTTCCATTAGTATATCTTAAAACACGAATATCTGTAACTGTATTACCACCAACTAATTTACTAGGTCTAATAGAGTTGTATTTCATAAGATTTTTGTCGGCAAAATTTTGGAAAAAGGTGTAATCAAAATTTACTACTGTAAATGGATTTTTATGCCTAGCTTCCTTTGTTAACCTTAAATAGTCACTAGGAAGATAAATTTCCCTATTTTTTAGGACTGTCTCAATAGAGCTGTGCACTGAATCACACTCCATTTGCGTGTGACCTTTTTCTAAAAATTTTTGGTCAATTATGACATTGTATTTTTCAGATAAGAAAAGCAAAGTATTAGACATTACACTGTTCCGGTTTTGGGCAGTACACCCATCAGAATAGATAGTTATGGGAAGTTTGTGTGATGGGTTCAGAAAATGTTCTTCCAAATAATGTTTCAGAAAAGATGCGTAGGTGGAAGCCTGACCATCTGCTTCTGTCTCGTTGTACCAATAGCAACTAGCTTGGCTACTAGCCAAATTATAGATAGTATAATTATGGCAGCAAAGTTTAGTTTTATAGTAGAGTGCACTGGCCGGTAATTGAGGAGATAGTTTCACTGACTGAACATCCATCGTAATAACAAAAAGTTTTCCTTCAACAGCCTCCTTTTTGTCACGTTCTTTCTCACTTCTAGCTCGATCTTTTCTGATTATGTGGTCATTATATTCTTTTTCAGAAAAATTTCCATTTTTAAATTTAAAACAACTGTCACACTGGTCTTTGCGTGGATGAAAAATAGACAACTTCATTGTGTCCATCATAGTTCTTAAACAAGTGTGAGTTAATGGTGTCTTTCCATTTTCTGTACAAAATTTGCAGTAAGCCCTATACAAATCTGAAACAGACTGAAACACTTGCTCCAGATAAAGTCTATCGGTGTCTTTGCGACAGTAATGGGATGGTAGTTTGTTGAGATTGTTCAGAAAACTACTTAAAAATTCTTGATCTTCTTTAAATATATTTACCCGTGGCTTCCGCGTACTAACTTTGTTTTCGAATGATTCATTCATTCCATTTTGGTTTTCCATCACCCAAGATCTTACGGACCACTCCCCTAAAGCTAACGTTCCAAGGTACATAGATTTACATACAGGAACATTTTCATTATTAACTTTCAGGCTATACTGAAATGTTACATTACGGCGAGACTCATGGTCTAATTTTTTTGGCCTTGTTTTTTTAGTTACAGCAACGGTGTTGGACACAAAAATTTTGCGCTGATCCCAAGACATTTTCTCCCAAAACATTTCAAATAACTTGTTACGGTCTTCCTCCGATATAAGAAAATATTTTGGTGTAGATTTATTATGTTTGCACTTGCATCTTGTTTTCATCTTTCTCTCGGCTCTATTTTGATCATGAAATGTATTTCGCTGACCTGCAGGTTTTCTAAATCCTAAATATTTTTCACCACGCATTCTTAGCATTTTGTTCTTTTCCTTCTTATTTTCGCCTTTTTGTTTTTTCTTGTTCTTTGGTTTATTTATTTCTTGATCTCTTGCGTTTGATGCGTCACGTTCAATCTCGAAACTTAAGCTAGAATTTGTGTCAGATCTTTCATCGTCCATTTCTGGGTCATAACTTTCGTCATTATCCTCTTTTTCTTGATTAGTAGATTCAACTAAAATATTATTTTCACTTTGAGAACTTTGTTGGCTAATGTCGATCAGTTCATTGTTGGTAGTTTTTTTCTTAACATTTTGTAGACTTGTATGATTATTTTCTAAAGAATTTTCTATAATACTATTATTTTCCAACAAGTCTAATGTCTCGTGTATATTATCCAAGCAACTAAAACTGTCATCAAAAACCACAGTAGCGTTGTTAATTATGTCTTCCATTTCTTTTGGAGAAAGAACTGGTGCAATCGACTGAGCATTATCTATTTCCAATAAAACCGAATTAGACAGGGCATTTAATTTTTTCTGCGCTTGATGACAGTCACTCTCTGGATCAATATTCTCGGTCCCTTTATTGTTTTTCATATCTTGATACGTTCGTTTAGATGGCGAAGATATTGTTTCACCTGTTTTAACTTTAACTAACCGCATCATTTCCTTAGTACGACTGGAAAATGGCATTATGCTGTTTAAGTGCAGTAACTCGGTAACTGTATTGTAACGTTCCAACGAACATTCATTGGACGTCAATCTATGACGTGCCAACAAATATTCATTGGGCGCCAATTTGTAACCCTTCGAGGCTCAATTTGTAACATCCCAACGTTGAGCTGCTGTTGTCAACCTGTAACCGCAAACCTTAGTTTGCTGCTACAACCTGACTAACATCACTGACAACGTTGGAGTGACAAATCGTTTCCCGTTGGGACCAATTTTTACCGTCATAACCCCTAATGTATCAATTACAAAATTGCTACATTAGACGTTATACGAAACACTCCCTGGCTAGCTCACTCAGGACGTGAATATGGCCTACTCTGAAGCAACACACACAAACAAGTAAAAAGAAGAAACAATACACAGTTAAATTAACACATGTTTATTAAGATATAAAAAAAAACAGAAAAATAAATGTTAAATATCGTATTGAATTTAAATAAAAATTATTCGACTTCTTGCTACAGTGTTACATTAGGTATATGAAAGAACAATTTTTGTCACCAAATCCTAAGTTTTATCCTAGTCTTTTCTGCTCTGGTTGTTAGCAAGCCATGTTGGTAGTTTTGGATTTCCTTGTCTCGGAGTCAACTCTCCTATTGGAATAATGGTTCCATTCTCAGGCCGGTTGGTCTTCTGGATGGTAATAGAATTTGACCCGCACCTGAGAAATGTATCCCGGAGGTTGACTAAAATGAAGAAAAACACACCTTGCTTTAGAAAATGGTGAAACCAAAATGAGAGACCTTGCTTGGGGGATGAATAAGGTGACCAATCAAATTTAACAAAATTTTATCATTATTCACCCAAGCAAGTCGAGAAACAATTCTTATTCATGCACTTATCATAGGCAAATAAGTAAAAGTAAGGATATAACTTTAATGCAAATGGTAATTACTTTTTTAAAACTGAAATATTCTAATATTAATTAAAAAAAATGACAAGATATATTTAGTGAAAAGATAGATAATTTAGAAACATTGCTATATAGAAATGATAGTTTGTCAAAAGTTAATTATTATTAAAATCAAAAGATATTATGGATTTAAAATTCATATTTAAAACTATAAAAATATTCGTAAAACTTTTACAGACTATATTAAAGAAACTATATATTTCTTATCGCTAGTTTTTTATATTAAATAAAAAAACATAAGAGATATCCAAAAAAAAATATGTATCTACTTACATTTCATTCACAAATAATGAGCTTAGAATTTTTAAAGTTACAATTATAAAAAGATTTTTATACAACAGGTGGAATTAGGAAATCGATAAAATATATTATACACTTACCTCCAAATCTGGAGACGACACAATTGGTTATTCTACTCTTAGAGAAGTCATGAAGAAAATCGACATTTTTAGAAAATAGAAGTCTTTATATCGACTTTTGTATCGAATGGGAAGGAGAAATGTCGAAAGAATAAAGATGGGACCTCTCGTTCCAAAGTAACGGAAATAGAGATGAAAATAAAATTCACTCTTTAGAAACTTGAGTAAAAGACAAAAATGATGATTATTAAGAAAATAGGAAAGATAGATACTAAAATATATATATAAAGAAGATAGATTTGGACGCCAACTGGTTTTTATACCAAATACCAGTAAAAATGAAAAGAGAATAATGAATCAATTAAGTAACGACATAATTCTGATACAATCTATATCCTAGAAAATATATAGAAAAATAAGAGATACAATGGAGGATATAGAAGAATATGAATTATGACAGAAGATACGGAAATTGGAGAATAGTATTAACGAAATATATTAACATAAGAAAGAAAGCAGGCAATGTAGCAGTTATAACGCTACAGTATTGAAGGCTGAATCTTGTAGGTGACACCTGTAAATAAAATAAGTTTTTAGTGAAATAGTCACTAACATAAACAAAAAACTGCTTTATCTAATAAACTTAGTACTATTTACCAGAATAAATAAATTTTATTTTAATAAAATCTCTGTTTTACCTTTAAACACCTGATAGCGTCGAGCAACACAACAATAATGGCCACCGAAACTTGATTTTTAAGTGCAGTAACTCGTAACTGTACGAAAGACAGGACCTCGTAAGTGACACCTATAAATAAAACAGTTTATAAGAGAAATATTAATCAACAGCAACACAAACACTGCTTTAGACAGCCAAATTATGTTGTATTTAACAGAATAAATACAGTTGATTTTAATAAAATCTCCATTTTACCTTTAAACTTCAAATAACGGCGATCAAAACAACAACACTCAAACATGCCCACTTTCGTACTGTACAAACTGCACCATACAAGGTCCTGGTTTTAAAATATTTTTACCGCGCATTTACGAGTTAACGTTCCCTTACAGTTTTCTACCTAAGGCCTGAAATATTTGATTCTTTAGAACTGCCAATAGATGGATCTGTATGTCCTAAACTAGATTATATGATAAAACCGATTTTAATAAAAATGTCACTTACGAGGTACTGTCTTTGAACCCTCGATGTGTGCAACAAAAGTTATTCGAAGTCAAAGGTCAAAATTTGAGATTTTTTGGATTTTTCTCGAAAACGGTAAGTTTTATCAAAAAAAAAAACTCAAACCAAATTTGTAGATCTTAACATTCTCTACGAAAATAGTCCATACAATTTTTCCCTAAGAATTCTCATTCCTGAGATATCGCGAGTTTAAAAGTTACATTATACATTATATGCACATATAAGCTACGTACATACATATCAGGCACTTAAGACAAGTATAAATGCCTATTTGTGTCTCTTTTATTATACTATTCTGAAAATATTTCTTCAAAAGATAATCAGTCCCAAACTGAATTTCCTCTATCTACTTGGCCTTGAAAAACATTTGGCTATACCATTGTTTCAAAAAGAACAGATTGTCTATTCTTAAAAATGGCTACAGTATTGTCCGTAGGTCTAGTTCATATTATCTGTTTCTTTTAGTGCTAAAGGTTCAGTTCAAGTGAATATAAGTACTTATTACAAGCGTCTACCATTTAGTACCATTACCGTTATTTGTACAATTTTGTAGTTTTAAAAATGTCTCAGTTTTGCGGAAGGAATTCGCTTTCTTCTTGCGGTTTATGGAGGTCCAAAAAAAATTAGTTGTCTTGATAAATACCGATACTTAACTTTTGTAAAAAATAAGCGAAACAAAAAACAAGTACAACTATCATGTCTTCCTCCAACATCAGCATCTGCTTTTCAACATTTATAGTATCAAGTTCAAACATGACTAAACAATGAACTGAATTAGGAAACCGGGGTCGGAAATTAATAGATAATTATATTAAAATCATAGATGTTAATTATATTAAAGATAATAATTAAAAATACAGCAATTTCTGTAATTTTGTCACAGTATTTCTAGAGCAGTGGAGTAAAATAGGTTCGTATATAGCACCAGTAGACACTTCCAAAATAGATACCTGGCTACATACATAACAGTTAAGTCTATATGGCTCTAACTACGGAAGAAAAAAGGCAATTTGACAGCTGTCGACAATTATCAACAAATTCGATTGGTTTTAACCGGGCATATGGGGTTTGGCGTCTGATATGTTTTTATAATTTTTGCAATAATTTTAAATTAAGATGCCGCGAGTGAAGTCTTCCCCCAAGAAATGTATAAAAACTAATCTACAGCAGCCAGCCAATTCATGGATATTTCTATTAAAAGGTAGGTCTTTTTAAGTTTCTTTTTTTGTTTTAGAAATCATTTTTCTTTTATTGTTTTTCTTTAATATTGGATCCAAACTTTTTAAATGTGAGTATAAATGATTGATAGTGATTTGCCTTTTCTAAGGATGAAAGCATTTGAAATATTGTTTTTATTTTGCAACCTAATTATACATTTGTGCTTATTAACTTTCCCAAGGTCTTTATTTGTATTATACTTTGGAATATTTTTATATTTTGATCTAAATACATATTAAATAAATATAAACTAACATGAAACTAATAATATTGTCTATTACTACATATGCTGTTAATAGTATATCATTATCATATGTAACAGTATTTAATTATATATTTTGCATTTTCCATTATTGCCAAATCATCTTATATTTGTCTGCATTTCAGGTGAAGCTTTGGAACTGTCTGACCAATATACAGGCAGTGGTACACCAGATATTGTCACCTTGAGACATCCAAACACTGGAGAATCTGCAGTATTTTTGTTTTCTCCTGCTAATAATTCTGTGCAAGAAGTTTTAACATACAATGAAGGAAAAAGATCTTGGTTTATTGATGAAACAGTCAAGAGTGATGGCAAAATGCACCTGTCTACACCTATTGATCCTATATTTTTAGGTAAATATCACAACTATTTATATTTTGATGTATGGCGTATGGGACATTATTTTAAAGGGGGTTCAAGAGATTATTATTTAAATATTACTATCTAATGTATATAGAAGTCCCAAAGATGTTACTGGTATGCTTTTATTTTATTCTTAATTACACAGGTCAACAAGCCTGAGACCCAGGAAACAGTGTATACTTTTTTGAAAGCTTTTAGTGCTCTGAATACAAATCTGAGCTCCGAATTGCTGAATTGGCTCTGGTTCTTAAGATATTCTAACATAAGTTCAAAAATATAGATTTTTAGCATTTTTGAGGTTATGTAGACCAGTTAATTTTTTTCTATCCTAAAATAATATGCATACTTATATAAACACCTTAAAGTATGTCTTTCTCTTTCAAATAGGTATGGGTACTTAAGTAATAAGACTATGTATAAATTTAGCTCTATTTTTTTTAAATCTATCTCCCTTTATTTCAAATGATTGTTTGACTGTTGTTGTCTATTTTCAACTGAAACATATTTTTCATCTTCTTGATTTTAAGTGACCAGCAGTAATCTTTCATCATCTGTACATCCTAATGAGCTCAAAAATGATACCATTTCTACTTGGTGAAATCTATCTCTTCACTGAATGCACCTATATTTTCTGGCAAATAATTTAAAGGAGAAAACAAAAAGTGTTATTTTAACCTCATCAAGCTGCCTAGTTTTTAAAAATTTTGAATATGGTTGATTATTTTGTCTTCTGCATCTAGATGATTTCCTAAAAAATTGTGGACAACTTGTTTGAGACTAATTCATGCTTCTTTTTCTGTAAGTGTCATAGTTATCTCAAAATTGTCATCTTTCGTTAGCTTCCTAATGTTAGGGCCTACAAAAACACCTTCTTCAACTTTAGTTGCAGATGAATTAGAAAATTAAAATCAAATATGTTGATAACATGCACCATCTTTATCTATAGCTTTTGTGAATGGTTTCATTTATCCTAATGCACAAATGCTACTTTTTAACTGTTTACAATAATTTTACTGTTCTCCCTTATGCCAAAAGCTATCTTTTGTTAAATTTGTCAATCCATGTAACCCGAATAATAGCTCAGTTAAGAGTTTGCAATAACCACTAATTGAAACTTCCCTTAGTGGAGCCACTCACAGCATCAGTCCAAATGGAATTTGCGCTATTTGTAATATTAAAGAATTTGAGACAATTGAACAGCTTTTATGTAATTGTCCAATTTATGTGTCAATGAAACCTGAAAGTGAGGACTGTTTATTCAGTTTATATAATTTTGTTCTTTTTCTTGACATTCCAACACCTGATTCAGCTAAAGTAATTTTTAATTTTACCTCTGAGGTGCTTAAACTCAGGCATTTATAATCAATGAATGATATATGTAGGTACTTTATTTTGTATTGTTATTGTATCATTTTGTTCGTTATTTTTTGGATTTAGGATATTTGTATGTTCAGTGTTTAATTGTACTACTCTTGCTATGTAACTATATTAATAAAAGTAATAAAGTAAAAAAAAAATAATTTCAATATTTTCAACATTTAGAGACCATCGCTTTATAGAGACTGGTACATACTCACGTCGACCTGGTTCCGGTCATAGAGGAGTTACCTCGTAAGGGGATGATCATTTTATTGTGATGGTTTTAAGAAGTCGCCATTCCACCGCAATTGGTGCAAGAAACCGTCTGCAGAAGGTTCGAAATGTGAATGTAAGTGAGAGAACGGTTAGAAGACGCTTCAATGAAAGAGTACTACTGGCAAGAAGGCCAGCTATTGTTCCCGAATTACAACCCAACACTGTAGGAATCGAATAATTTTTACTCCACAACATCAACACTGGGATATACAGGATTGGAGCTGAATTTTTACTGATGAATCGTGGTTCGATTTGAAGTCTGGCGATGGCCGAGAGAGGGTTTGGAGATGGAGAAATGAAAGACATGCCCAAGCTTGTATGCCCCAAAGAAGAGAGTTAGGCGGTGGTAGTGTCATGGTTTGTGCTGGAATCCCATTTGAAGCTCGAACTGAACTTATTTTCATCAATGACTCCTATAGGATGTTTTGGCAGAAGCAGTAATTCCATTTGGTCCATTTATTGGGGAATTTCGTCTTTATGCATGATAATGCATGGCCACATACTGCAAGAATCGTGACAAATTTCTTGGGAGAAGTAGGAATTAATACTCCCGAATGGCCAGCCTGTAGTCCTGATCTAAATATCACCAAACACTTCATTGTAGGGTTAGAAGTGAACGCGGCCAACCAGAAAGTGTTGCAGAACTTCAAAACATGCTTTGTGAAGCATATGAATGTATTCCTCAAGTTTTTATTCAAAATTTGTTCCTTTCCCTTAGAAATCGTATGCAAACCGTTATTTTTGTTTCAGGGCATAATACATATTAGACAATTTGGTTCAAGTGCACTTGTAATTTTTATTGTTTGTAATTTGTCTCGATATTACACTATTTTGTTTGTAGCCTTCTAATTAAATAAATTATGCAAAGGAATCAAGCAGTAATGGCAATTTATTGTTTTAAAAATGAAAGATGTTAAATATACAATATGAAACAGTGCATCAAACTTCCAAGGAATTTTTATTTTCGGAAATTTATAGGGTGGCCACTTTTTTGCCGGCCCCAGTGTATATCGAAAATCCTGTAGTGATGTATGAATTTTAATTGACATACTTATCTTTTAATAAGAATACAGCTTTAAATTATTTCTTTTTTCGTAATGACAGTTAAAAATCTTCCAAAGTCCAAACTTATGAATTGACAACTTGAAGAATGTTGATATTTTGTATTTGTTTTTTCAGTTCTTCCATATCTTAAAAGGTACTGTACTGTCCAAGCAAAACCTTTGGATCAGCTGCTGAGAGATGAAGAATTTCCTGAGACTGAGAGGCTACTGAAGTCAAGTGGACTCAAATACTTAAATTTGATTGCAGATAAAAAGGTAAGTCCAATATTGACTTTACTGGTTAGTTATAAAAGTTCCAACAGTCTCTCCACCTTTTGTTGTGACTCTATATTTATTTATTAGTATAGTCAAAACCATGTTAGAAGGCTGGTTTGTAATTAAGCGACGATCAGTGATGAGTGATTAGTTTACTATACTATACTGTACTAAGTACTAATTAAGATTACTAAATAAATTAAAAGGTAAATAAATTATTTACCAATTAAACTTAAACATAATTGAATCAAATAAAATTATAATAAACGGTTAAGGTTTGATTTCGTTACATTGTACCAACATTCGCTAATATGCATATTTCTGCCAATTGGCTTCCTTAGAGTGAACTCATGGTATGCTCTAACGAAATAATACATTTTCCATCTATAAAATAAATATTTAAAATATTTACCGACAGATGCTAGAGCTTCATCTACTAACGAGAATATGAGGTGTGGCTATTAAATAACGAGACTGATTACGAAAGAGTTTTATTTTAAAAATTATTCTACAATGGAATGCTTTCCTTCAATACATTACCCTTCCCTCGCCACACACCGTTCTCTTTGTTTTTTCCATTAGTCAAAGCAATGCTGGAAGTCTTCTTTTGTTAGAGCTTCTATTCACTCCGCCGTTTTTCACTTCACCTCTTCCATCGACTCGAACCGGATTCCTTTTCAGGCAGACTTGATCTTCAGATACAGGAAAAAGTGACAGGGTGCTAAACCAGGCGAGTACGGCGGGTGTTCGAGCACTGGAATGCCCCTAGCGACTAAATAACGCTTCACAGACAGCGCGTTATGGGCAGGTGCGTTGTCCTAGTGCAAGATCCGCGGCTTTTTTTCCACAACTCCGGCCGTTTCTTACGAACTCGCTCTCGCAGCGTTGCCAAAACTTTCAAATAAATTTAGGTTTACATTTTGACCCCCTGGAACCCATTCAGTCATCACAATGCCGTTAATGTCGAAAAAACGATTAGCATGGCTGTAAATTTTGATTTCGACATCCTTGCTTTTTTCATTCTTGGCCATACAGGAGTTTTCCAGTGGATGGATTGTCATTCATTCATTGGAATTCAGGCTTTCCATGTAACCTCTCAAGAAAATCTGAACAGATCTGTTGACAGGCGAGCTTTTGGTCAGGCGTAAAATTTTTTGGGCCAACTTCGCACAGACTTTCTTCATGTACAATTCGTCATTTAAAATTTTTCTGACAGTGTCTTTATCCGTGTTTACAGTCTCAGCAATCATCCGAATGCTTATACGACGATCTCCACGCATTTATTTTCGTCACTGTTTGCGGAGTTTAAATAGAGACAGGTCGATCTGGACGTTGGTCATCTTCGGCGCTCTCTCGGCCTTCAGAAACTGTTTATACCATTCAAAAACACGCGCACGAAATAGAGAAGTCTTACCATAGGCCTCTTTCAACACATTATAGCAGTCAGACGGATTTTTTTTAATTTAACGAGAAACTTCACATCCGTTGCCCATGTTTTTCGTCACTAATTGTTATCGGCACGAGAAAAGAAAACACGTTCTTTTCTAACCTTCCAGCTATCCAATACAGCATTCGTTTCCCACTCTTCCCCTCTAGGACGCCTTCTGCGCGCTAAATCTCGTTATTTAATAGCCATACCTCGTATAAATATTTTAAATATGAATGGAAAAGGATTTATTTCATTCGAGCTTACCGTGAGTTCGTTCTGAGGAAGCCAAGAGGCAGAGTTATGCATATCAGCGAATGATGGTGGAAAATATATTAAATCTTGGGAACTATACAACGAACGTTTTATTAAAGTGACGATTCTCCTAAGAGGAACACAAATAACAGTTCTGGGGGTATATGCCGTAAATGATGACTACTTAGTTCAAGAAAAGGAAGCTTTTGAAGAAGACTTTAGAAAAATCCTGAAAAAAATTCCTAACAGCCATGAGATTATATGCGGAGGAGTCCTTAATGCCAAAGTAGGAAAACAAGTACAAAGTAAAGTGGTAAGCATGCATGGAAAAGAAACTGTTAACAACAACGGAGAAAGACTCATAAATATATGCCAACAATATGAGTTAAAGATTTTGAATGGTTTTTTCGCCCACAAGAACATACATTAAAACACCTGGTATCAGCACACAAGAGGTCTAAAATCGATAATAGATTATTTCATAACAAGACAACAAACTAAGTTAAGACTACAGGACGTAAAGGTGAATAGAGGATCAGAGTGCGGCTCGGACCACTGCCTGATAATAGGAAAATATATACACCATTCGTAGACAGAAATTCAAAAACTGCATGAAAGACGCAGCGCTACAAGCCTTAGAGCCACAGGTACGGAGAGTAGATAAACCATATTGGTGGGATAAAGAAGTGGAAGAAAAGATAAAAACAAAGAAGGAAGTACCTATATCAAAAGTTATTACAACAGGGAGACGAACAAACAAAACAACAATATAAAAATTTGAATAAAGAAGTCAAACGAGAAGTGGTTAAAAAGAAAAATAGTGCATGGGAACAAAAATGCCAATACCTAGACAACCAATAGGTGGACAAAGAGCTCTGAAGCCTGGAGAACTATAAAAACGATCAGAACAACGACAAAAAACCAAGTCATAATAAATAGAATACCAGAGAACTGTTTGAAATGATCCGAAAATTATTCGAAAGATGCTTAAACGCAAAAGAAGTTCCAGAAGAATGGAGACAATCGTATATCTCTCCAATACACAAGAAATGCACAAAGACGGATCCTAAAAACTATAGAGGGATCGCAGTGATTGCTACTATAGGCCGACTATACTCAAAAGTACTACGAAACCTGATAGAAAATGATATTAAAGACAAACAAGCGGGAGAAGAACCTTATTCTTCTCCTGCTTGTTGAAAGGCTTGTTCCCGAAGAACAAGCGGGATTTAGGGCCGGACGCTCCACTATGGATAATATTTTCACATTTAAAATTGCAATGGAAAAACGAGTGCAGAGAAATAGAGAAACACATATAGCTTTAATAGATTTGGGAAAAGCATATGACAGTGTACAGATCTTCCAACTATGGATAGAAATGGGTAAACTTGAAAATAAACCCAATTCTTATTAATGTCACTCAAAAATACTACGATCAAAACTTTGCAAGAATTAAAATGGGACAAGAAATCACCTCTCCTTTTCAAACAACAATGGGACTAACACAAGGATGCTGTTTGTCACCCACCTTATTTAAAATCTATTTGGACAGATCCTTAGTGAAATGGGTAAAAAAATGTAGAAACATGGGAATAACTGTGGAAGAAAACACGCTATATACACTTTTCTATGCGGATGACCAGGTAGTAATTACCGAAGATAGCTACGATCTTAGCTATATGGTAAGAAAACTGCAAGAAGAATATGATGTGGCAGGTCTAAACATGAATATGACAAAATGTGAATATCTCTCAGTGGGAACAGATGACAAGTAGTTTTCAAACACATTTTTACATACATTTAAAAATAAGAGAATACAGAAGCATACATGTTACCAGTCAAAAAGAGACGACAAAATAGTTTTAATTCAATTAATGGTAATTCCGCTTCTCCGCCCCCAATTTCCATCTTTTTCTGTCATATGCGGTTGCCTCTCTAAGTATCTTGCTGCCATTGCTTTATACTTCCGAACCATAAAGTGTAATACTTTGGACTGTACTACCTTAAATTTGTTTTTTGTTTGATTTCTTGTCGAATTGTTTTTGCCAGAGAAGAGAGTTTAAGACACGGATCGCTGCTCTGCCCTTGTTTATTCTTTCTCTAATTTCATCTGCGCTATTTCCCTTCTTGTTGAAAATGACCCCCAAATATTTGCAGGATTGCATGCCTTTGATTTTGTCGTCTTCCGTCGTATTTAATATGTGACCTAGTCTTGGGATCCCGTACTATAAGATAATAAATAATACCAGATCATTTAATTTTTAACTATCAACAAAAATGTGATGACTAGTATGCATAATTTTTATGGTAATACGATCTAAACAGAGATATCGCCGACACAGTACATATTTCTTTGTCGATAACAATTTTTAGATAACATTTTTCAATATTCAATATTATTTGTGGATTTAAGAAATTATATAAAATGTTTATACCCGTAGAAAGGGGATTACGCTGTAGCAATTTTCTGAATTTTCTGTTCTTGACTTAAGATCGAAACTAGATGTATTCCGAAAATCATTAAACTGGCTGCCTACCTAGTAATTAGGTATGAACAATATACCGTCAGAGAATATTACTTTTGCTCATAGGTGTCGCTAGAAACGCATAGAGAGAAGGGTTATCACGTGGTTTCCGGAAAGGAGGCCATTTTGTCACAGCATTTGTGCGTATTATTGTAATATAAGAAAGTAATGTGCTGTACCAAATGATATGGGTCATTCGTCAAAAGATTTATTTAGTGATTACAAAGAATCCACGTTCTGGCCGTATTAATTCGTCGTTGATATTTGTTTATAGTGCGAGTAACGGAAGAGCAAGGAAACTTAGTGTGTAAAATTATCAGTTAGTCAATATTATTTAAAATATCTAGTTGTCGCTGTAGTACATTTTGAGAGTGATTAAGTTGGAGTAACGTTGCTGTCACGAGGCACATTGGGCAATCATGATGGAGCCATCATCCAAGGTAACAAACTTGTTTTAATTTGGTAACCTACCTTTTTTGATCAGCACCAATAACTTTTTTTACACATACACGCACACACACGCTCATTATCAAGAGCTTCTAAAAAATACAAAAAATCTTATAAAGTGAAACTAGAAATATAAATTTTAAGTAAATCTAAACTGCTTAACATGTTAAAAAAATTACCTACAAAAAACTGGAGAATTCTTAAATGATACTAAGTATTACACTACACTTACAAGGAGTCCTCTTTGTACTTTGCAACAAAAAGCAAATTGTCTAGTATCTATGTAAATTACTTATTCTTCTTTGGGTGCCGTCTTCAATGAAGGTTGGCGATAACCTCAGCAAAAT